GTGAGCACGTAACTTGGTGCGTCGGAAGCACCATGTGAATTTCCAAAGCCACTAATGATGCGCCGCCGTGGATAGCAAAAACGAATTAATTTTTGACGCTTTTTGACTATTCTTCATCTCTGCAGAGTCAACAAAGCCACTTTCAAAGTCTTCTTATATAATAAGACAAGCACTATTTATGACATCGATGCATCCCTACCGTCCTTTGGTTTTTCTTTTCCACATAAAATAGTTCCCTTCAATTCTTGCCATGGATTCAAGTCTAAAATTTACATTTGACTGACAACTTTCGTGGAATTTTTAATTGTTAAGTTTCGGTGGGTAGGGTGACCATAATTGTTAAGTTTCGGTGGGTAGGGTGACTATGTTTATTTTTTAAATTTTTTTTATTTAATAATATATAAATATAATATTTTTAATTTTTGGAAAATATTAATTTCATACAAATATTTAAAAATTTTTAATTTTTGGAAAATATTAATTTCGTACAAATATTTTTTTAAAAAAATCATAAAACACAATTTTCAGTGGAAATCCAAAGAATATACACAACCTCGGTGAAATTAACAGGTGAATACGACCGTGCCCTTTCATTTTCCCATGCCAAATGCTCCAGAGAGCCAGCGTTCTCTTCTTGGGTTGCTTTGCTGGGGTTTTATATCTAAGTGGATACGTGCATTTACATCAGGTAATTTTTGTTTTTTGAGATGTGAAAGTATTTTTGAAAAAAAAATTATTTTTTTTTCATTTTTATTTTAAATTAATTTTCAAAATGAATCCTTGATTTTGGCATTTACTGGGTTCTTCAAGAATTTAGCACATGACATGTTAAGTTTTCAGTAATTAAAAAAGAAGGCCAAATGGTTTCACCTCGGGCCACATTGAAACGATAGGCAGGACTGCCGTCACCGTCACGGGCAAGAAGGATCCGACATGTACAACATTAAATTCATGGAAGGCGGTTTAAAACTTCCTAACAATATTAAATTATTTATATTATATTTAGGGCTGCGTCACAAAATAAAATTAAAAAAAGCTAAATTAAAAAAAATATTTTAAAAGGCCAAGATTTCGGTTATTTTATTATTTAAGCTGAAACTATAAACATTGTTAAAAAAAATGTTGAAAAAACATTTCCTTATAAGGCTGGAGTCCTTGCCAGCCTCCTATCTCCGCCACCGATTATGTCCACACTTGGTGCTCAATGTATTAATCTTTTATATCAGCATGATTAAGGCATCATCAAGTGAATTAAGTTTGGATTAACTATCTTCAAATGGGCATGAATAAGATAAGAATAATAAGTTTTCATCTATGCCATTAAGATGAAGGATGGACCCGAGTTTTAAAGTATAGAATAATATAAATATATAACTAAATTAATTAAGATTTAAAAAATCTAAAAATTATAATTTTCTTATATAAAACTTAAAAATTTATATATGTATTATAAAAAGATAATTCATGAAATTCTATTTTTTTTATAATTTATAATTGTTTGCAAGATTTTATATTTTGAAAACTTGGTAAGATTTTCTCATTATTAACACTTTTAAATATATCTTTTTTATATAAGTAATCATAATCAAACAATTATTTAATTAATCATCTCTAATTCGATCGAGTAACTAATTTTTAATCAATTTCATCACTAGAAATATTCTCTTTGCTGATATGGTTTGTCTCCATCAATTTTTTAGCAAGATCATTGATTCCTTTTAGTTTTAGAAATTCTTCACGGGATCTCATGTCATGTCAAGAATATAAGTTTGTTAATTATAGGGTATTACACCTTGATCCGCTGCAAATGACAAACATCATTTATTTTTTAAATATCAATGCTATGTCTTTCACCAAAAACAATTTATCATCATCTACATATTTTTATCCTTCATCCCTTATCATTTGAATTTGAATTTGTTGTTTCAGAACTTCAACCAAAGTCAACACATTTATAATATCTTAATATTTTCTTCATAATGCTTGAGTTAATTCATTTATGATTCTTTGTATATTTTTCATCAAATGCAAATTAAAAACAAATTTAAAAAATTATACTGAGTCATCAAGATGTGTTCAATACTTATTCTTTCACCTATCTCACCTTAAATCTTGATTCAAGGGTTTCAATGAATAAACTCTCAATTTGTTTTTTATATTATAGTTGTTTTAGGTAGTTTAGAGTGGAAGAAGAAGCTAAGTTTTTAGTTTTTCTAGCTTATTTATGAAAATATCACTAATAAGTTTGCATGTTATTTTTAGTTTTATTGTTAATATTTTTTTAATGATATACCCTAAACTTTTAACTTAAAATAGAGTAATGTGTCAGAAGTCTTCTTATAAATTTTCAATTTAATCAAATAGTTGGATTGAGAGTTATACTCAATAGCATAAAACTAATAAATATGTAATTTTATGTCGAAATCTATTTTTTTTTTTCCATCATTGCTAGAATTATATAAGTTATTTTACTAAGTTCTAAAGACCATTTTCTTATTCCAAAATATATTTATTTTTTTATTTGTTTTATTTACAGATTCAATATAATTTCACAATAACAATACTAATTTTTAACTGAGATTTACACAAATACTTTTTCACAAATTCATTTCTTTACTTTTATTTTTAATTTTCATTATAATTCCTTAAAATTATTTTATCATTCTTAAAACACATCAATTTTATTTTTTTTCCTTATTCTTTTATTCTGTTATCGGTTTCAGCATGATATATACTTTATTTGATAAAGAACAATTCTAGATCGAGTTTTAGTAAATAGCAAAATAATATAACTAAATAAATTAAGATCTTAATATACATAATTTTTTTTTAAATACAGTTTAAAAGTATTTTTTTAGTAACTTAATATAACTAATTTTATTTCAGCCCTCCACTCCAAAAGTCAAAACACTCCCAGGTTTCGATGGCAAGAGAGGATGAATTTCACAATTCAATACACCGAGCTTATAATGTTTTTTTTATTTTATTTTAATTGCTTATGATATTTAGAAAGTGGGCATTAATTCTCTTTTGAGACACAATGAATATGAATTTTATTATCTCATTAGTATTTTTTAACTATATTTCATGTATTCAAACTATTTTTTTCTCTTTTTATTCAAACCAACTACAGTTAATTAATTAAATTTGATTGGTGTATTTTGTATATTTTTTTTCTCTTTTTGGATATTTTGGGAGACCAAATTAATACATTGAATTGAAATAACCATTGAAGTCCACCAATGAATTTAACTCAGTCCCTTTCGATAGTAAAGGAGGCTGCTGCCAGGATGTACCAAAAGATAAAATTAAATAAATAAAGGACCAATGCAACAACTCTGTGCCGTAATGTCGACAAATTGCGTAACAAAACCTTATGGACAACCAAACAAAATGATAAACACTATTTTTTAGTAATTTAATATATCTCCTCCCATTGCTTGACAAACTTAATATACCTAGTGTATTTAAAATATATATATATATATATATATATATATATATACAGTTTAAAAATATTTTTTCAGTAACTTAATTCAACTTTAAGGGATGTTTTCATTCGACAAACCCCACATACTGCTCGAAATCTCCTTCAGAGTGCAAAACCTTTGCACTTTCTCTGCCAAATGTTTCCAAGTGTGAGGCTGCTCAAGAATTTGCACCCCTAAAATGCATACCTTGCCAGAAGAACCTGCCAGCAATCTTCATCGCTTAGTGCATTCCAGCGCTGAGAGGGGATGAAAGTTTGAGTGACTTTTACATTGATTTCGGTGAGCAGGGGAGCCTCTGGAATTGAAACCACAAGCTGTGGACACGCTTGAATCTCAAGCCTCAATAAACAAGGAAGGTGACTAGGCAAGGCATTTGTTAACTCGGGACAACCAGCTATCAAGAGCTTTGCAAGATGAGGGAAAGGACCAGCTACATCTGTTTTCCATTCCTGCCAGTTTCGCATCCCCTCAAACTTTAATATTTTTAGGGATTTAAATGGCTTCTCCATCGAAGGGTCACTTCCATAGAACTCAGAACCAAGTGCCACGACATCATCAAATCCTTCAATATGGAGCTCTTCAAGTGATGTCAGCTGCCCCAATTGTGGTAAGCACATGCAGTTCTTACATCCAGAAAGAGTCAACGCTACCATATTTAAGAAAGAAGAGTTTCCAAGCCAGCCTGGAAACATTGTACCCCCGTAACCATTAATGGCAAGCTGTTTCACATTTTCAGAAGGCTCCAATTTCTCAAGTACTTCTCTCTCCTGTTGTGTGTCATCTGTATTGCCATCCCATATCAACCCCAACTCCTCAATCTTCTTCTTACCCTTCAAATTGGCATCCAAAGCATCTTGAGCATTTGCAACCTCTCTGAGATTCCGAATAGAAATTTTTCTCCTTAAATGTGAGAGCTTCCCCAGCTCTTTCATGCTAGACCCACTCTCTTTTCCCACGACGTAATATTGCAAAGTTCGAAGCTTTGTGAGTTTCGCCATTTTTGGTGGCATCTCTTTCAAATTTGTCCCTTCAATATCAAGATGTTGTAGGTTGACCAAGTTGGAAATGTTGGATGGCAACTCCATGAGATGTCGGCACTCTCTTAACAATAAACTTTGCAAATAGTACAAGGTGCACACACTTTCAGGTAACCTTTCAATCGATGTCCCGTAAAGGTCCAAGTGCTGCAAATGTTTTAAGTTGCCAATGGAATTGAGCAACTTAGAAGAAGTATCTTTTGGATGACATAAAGATAGCATTCGCAAGTGCTTTAGATTTGGCAAGATGTCATTCAGCGTCTCAATATCAACTTCCCCGAAAATATATAGTGGAAACAAGGCGCGCAAATGATGGACTCCATGAATGCTACGAAATATCCGACGTCCTGCCCCAGTATATGGTGGAAACAAGGCTGCTCGAGTGATTGGTAAATAACGAGTCCTTTCTGGAAGCGTGCATGAATGTTCACCCTCCAACCCAGAGCCCGATTCATTAATACCAAGCTTAAAGCAAAATTCTCCTGACACGTATTCAGCTAAATCACTTATGATGTCATGCATTCTGAAAAAAGAATCACGAGTTGATTGCTGGAAAAGTGACCTGGAGACAAGATCATCAAAGTATTTTTCACCTATCTCTTCCATCTCCTCAACGCCTCTGGGCTGGACTAAAAACCCTTGTGCCATCCATTCAGTGATTAATCCATCCTTCTTGAATACATAATCCTTGGGAAATATTGCACAATAAGCAAAACAACGTTTGAGGTGTGAAGGGAGATAATAATAGCTCAATGTTAGAGCTGGAGGGATGTTTTCATTCGACGAACCCCACATACTGCTATTGGATATCTTCTCCCATTGCTTGACATCTCCTACGGACTGCAAAAGACCCCCAAGAGTTTTCGCAGCCAGCGGTAAACCTTTGCACTTTCTCACTATTTCTCTGCCAAATGCTTCCAAGTGTGAGACTGCTCCAGAATTTACACCACTAAATGCATACCTTGCAAACAACTTCCAGTAATCTTCATCGCTGATTCCATTCAAGCGGTGAGAGGGGATGACAGTTTGCGTGACTCTTGCTACATCTTCTTCCCGTGTTGTCACGACAACCTTACTGCCTAGCTCCACATACCGCAAAGGTAGCAGTAGTTTATCCCATTCATTGTACTCGATGTTCCACGCGTCATCTAGAACAAGAAGTTTTTCCCCTTTCACTGCCTCCATTAGAGATTCCTCTGATGTTCCACGCGTCATCTAGAACAAGAAGTTTTTCCCCTTTCACTGCCTCCATTAGAGATTCCTCTGGTTCTTTGGTGCGGCAAGTACTTGCGTTGATCTTATCAAGAATATCCTTAATAATCCTGGCAACATCAAATTGTTGAGAAGCCCAGACCCATGCCTTGATTTGAAAGCACTGCTCTACCCTTTCGTTGTTGTGGATAAACTGAGCAAGAGTGGTTTTACCAATCCCGCCCATGTCCACAATAGGGACCGCACATAAATTTGAGCCATCCGTGTTGTGTTGTGTCAACAAGGGCTCCATTATGGCTTCCTTATCAGCTTCCCTTCCATATACATGAGATTCATCAACCATTGGAGTTGTTTTCTCTGACAGTGGTCTCCCTCCACCATTACCTTCTATGTGGCGCAGATCACCCTTGTGTTTAACTAAACGTTCAAGCTTCTAATAGATCTTTTGTAACTCTGCTTCAATCTCTTTCATCCTTTTATTGGCTGGATTAAGAATTGGAAACAAATTCCTTACCTGCAATGGCAGAACATATCCATGTATATGAGATAGAATTTAGGAACATATAAATACTAAAATTATTAAACTCGTCCCATGTCTTGGTACCGAGTAAGTTAACACAGCTGCAACGATGGTGTTTATAAAAAAATAAAATAAAAAAATGAGATTATTTATTAAAAAAATTAAGTCTATAGTGAAGTAACCCTTCAGGTTATTAAAATTTGAAAGATAAAATCATCAATTAACACAGTAAACATAAAAAAGTAACACAATGATATCGTTTGAAAAAGCTTTGAAAAATAGTATACTTTCACTTTATCACATTTCAGACGGACAACTTTTATTAAAAATTACTTATCAAGAATATCCTTAATAATCCTGGCAACATCAAATTGTTGAGAAGCCCAGACCCATGCCTTGATTTGAAAGCACTGCTCTACCCTTTCGTTGTTGTGGATAAACTGAGCAAGAGTGGTTTTACCAATCCCGCCCATGTCCACAATAGGGACCGCACATAAATTTGAGCCATCCGTGTTGTGTTGTGTCAACAAGGGCTCCATTATGGCTTCCTTATCAGCTTCCCTTCCATATACATGAGATTCATCAACCATTGGAGTTGTTTTCTCTGACAGTGGTCTCCCTCCACCATTACCTTCTATGTGGCGCAGATCACCCTTGTGTTTAACTAAACGTTCAAGCTTCTAATAGATCTTTTGTAACTCTGCTTCAATCTCTTTCATCCTTTTATTGGCTGGATTAAGAATTGGAAACAAATTCCTTACCTGCAATGGCAGAACATATCCATGTATATGAGATAGAATTTAGGAACATATAAATACTAAAATTATTAAACTCGTCCCATGTCTTGGTACCGAGTAAGTTAACACAGCTGCAACGATGGTGTTTATAAAAAAATAAAATAAAAAAATGAGATTATTTATTAAAAAAATTAAGTCTATAGTGAAGTAACCCTTCAGGTTATTAAAATTTGAAAGATAAAATCATCAATTAACACAGTAAACATAAAAAAGTAACACAATGATATCGTTTGAAAAAGCTTTGAAAAATAGTATACTTTCACTTTATCACATTTCAGACGGACAACTTTTATTAAAAATTATTATTTTTAAGCATGATAAGATAATTGTTGCAATTTCAAATAGCAATATTTAGTGAATATTGTGCTTCTAGAATATAACAAGGTGACAATCATCTAACTAAATTGATTAACATGTTGAAGCCGGTCGACTGATTCTACCAATCCCGCCCATGTCCACAATAGGGACCGCACATAAATTTGAGCCATCCGTGTTGTGTTGTGTCAACAAGGGCTCCATTATGGCTTCCTTATCAGCTTCCCTTCCATATACATGAGATTCATCAACCATTGGAGTTGTTTTCTCTGACAGTGGTCTCCCTCCACCATTACCTTCTATGTGGCGCAGATCACCCTTGTGTTTAACTAAACGTTCAAGCTTCTAATAGATCTTTTGTAACTCTGCTTCAATCTCTTTCATCCTTTTATTGGCTGGATTAAGAATTGGAAACAAATTCCTTACCTGCAATGGCAGAACATATCCATGTATATGAGATAGAATTTAGGAACATATAAATACTAAAATTATTAAACTCGTCCCATGTCTTGGTACCGAGTAAGTTAACACAGCTGCAACGATGGTGTTTATAAAAAAATAAAATAAAAAAATGAGATTATTTATTAAAAAAATTAAGTCTATAGTGAAGTAACCCTTCAGGTTATTAAAATTTGAAAGATAAAATCATCAATTAACACAGTAAACATAAAAAAGTAACACAATGATATCGTTTGAAAAAGCTTTGAAAAATAGTATACTTTCACTTTATCACATTTCAGACGGACAACTTTTATTAAAAATTATTATTTTTAAGCATGATAAGATAATTGTGATAAGATAATTGTTGCAATTTCAAATAGCAATATTTAGTGAATATTGTGCTTCTAGAATATAACAAGGTGACAATCATCTAACTAAATTGATTAACATGTTGAAGCCGGTCGACTGATTCTGAAAATAAAATAAAAAATTTTAAAAATATAAAAATTAAAGAGTTTCTATAAGATTTTTAATATCTAAAAATTTGATAGTCTAAATTGTGAGGCAATCATTATAACAAAAAAGATAATTTTCAAAAACTCCTATAAAAATTCAATTGCGATCCAATTATTAAATAAAAAATTATGGTTTTTTTTTTATTATTATTCTAGTTTAATAGGATCAAATTAAAATTGTTAAAATCATGATTTAATTCTTAAAATTATATTATTTTACTTGTTAATATATACTTAACATATAAAATCATTTAAAAAACTTAAAAATAAATGAAATCAAATAAAATTATCAAAAGCAGGTGAAATCATATAAAATCATGATTTCATCACCTATTTACAATTTCTGCATAATCTTGCCTCTTCTATTAGAGAGCGTGAATAGGAACAAGGACAAACCAATCACGGTTAAGTATGTGTGTGTTTGCCTGTCTCTGTACTTGATTATGCAGTAAAGGATGTTTTTGTCACAGCATCACTCTTTTGCTTGCCACCTGTTTTCTTTTATTTTGATAATATAGCATTTGCTTTTGTGATGGGATATTTTTTTAATTGATGACTCTTTCTCCCTTGAAAAGTTAACAATATTCCTCGATGATTAATATAATTTGATAATGCGATGTAAGACAAGGTTAGTGAGAGTTAAACCACAAGATCGATGTTTGTCATCAACAATTAAAAAAATGATTTATTGGATTAGGTAAGTTAATCGCATGAGAATTTAATTTTGCAACACAGTGCTAAAAATTGATTATAAATTAGACCAACGTGGTAAATTGTGCTTGAATAATTATTAATATTTGACCTTAAACGAATTAGAACGAATTAATATTTTTAAAAAGTTATTAAAAATTGATGAAAATAATAAAGCTAATTTTAATTTATATGACATATAGCATATTGTTTGTTTTAAATTTATTAATTATTAGTTAATGAAAAGTTACTTAAATTATGTACGAATTTTTATTTAAATCATGTATTTTAAATTTTAAGATGTTTGAATTATGTATAAATTTTTATTTTATTTGAAGCATGTATTTTAAGGTGCTTGAACTATGTAAGAATTTGTATTTGAAACATGAATGTTTTTAATGTATTTTAAAATTCCTTATGATTTTACGATTTTACAATCTATTTTTACAATCCGGATTTATTTTGTATTTTTCATACCATGTTAAAATCGTGATTTTAACAACCTCGAATCAAATCTCCTCTTAGGCCTTAAACTATTTCATTGTCCATAAATACATTTATTAGGTCATATACATAATTTGTTCAAGACAAATCCTTTTTTAGTTATGATAGACACACATCTAACTACTTAAAATCACTTGTTATCACAAGATTTTCTACATCATTGAAATTAAAAAATATACAACAAGTATTGTATAGATAATAATTTTTAAAAAATTTAATTGGAATTTATTTATAAGTCTAACTGTTGAACACATATAAATATTTTGACTCATAATTAATATTTAAAAGAAAAAATTCATAAAATTATAATTTTTATGTAAAATAATCCACTAGTTAATACAATAAAATTCAATCAAGTGACCAATTGAGCTAGATGATCGGACTTTTATTTAATTTGTTGCGCTTCATAAAAATAACATTTACTAAATATTGTCATTCAAAAATACAAAAGTAATTTATTTTACTAACTTTTTTTTAAAAGGTATGATTAGATCAATATTTAACATTTAGTGCTATTTAAAAAAAAATGAATGGGTTAATTTTTATTTTATTTATAAAAAAAAAAAAAACAATTTAATTCAAATTCTAGATTGAACATGTTTTAATTAAGATGACAGCTGGCCAAGCCGGGCTATTAAAAAGTGGTTGGAATTTGTTGGAATAATAATGAGTTGTGGTTGGAGGAGAGTACCATAGGATTGGTTGCATGGGATAGATTAGCATCATTGAGTGAGGGGTGTTGTTTGCATGAAATATTTCAAGAAAAGATATGAAATTTTCTGATATTTTACAATTCGAATTGTGCGTGTAAAAATCAGAGGGATCGATACTAACATTATACGAGAAAGGCAAAAACATATGCTTACCAGATTCTTCACACGTCGAGAGGCAGCTTTAATATCCTTGGATCGTAGATGTTCATATTCAATCACCTCCATTAAGTCCTCAGCTTCATACACAGCATGTCTAGCATCATTAAGCCACCTCTGCACAGCAGGCTTGGTGATCTGCTTCTCCTCCGCGTCGTCGAGAAGTCCGTTGAGAGTATTCAGTGCTTCTTTCAACTTTCCCAGAAGACCATCATTGAGCTTGTGGCTTTTGAAGAAGCCCAGAATCTCAGGGGTGGTCAGCTTCTCGCCCAGAACCTCAATGACAGCAGAGAGAATTGATCCTCCAATGTACTCCACAGCCATGATGGGATCTTTGCAGAGAATTGGAAGGAAGCAGAAGCAGAGAATTGTAGAGAAGAAGATAGTGAAGAGAATAAGACGTTTAACGAATGGAAAAGGAAAGAAAAATCAAAGTAAGTACGCGGGTTCTCAGTTGACTTCACAGCTCAGCTACTCGAAACTATTGACCCCAGATTGTCACTATACAATTCATCGGATACCCTACAAGTTCTGGTCAAGCTTTTAGGCAAAGATGCCGAGTCAGAAAGACAGTTTCTAAGCTCGAGTGAGAGTAACCTTTGAATAGTTTCTTAAAGTGAGCAAACACTTTAAACTAACTAAGCATTTGTTGCTCAATTTTCTATGCAATTGAATCAAAACAAGAAAGAAACGAATAGAGCCATCACATATGATTTTAATTTAAAGTTTTATTAGTAAATATTTTATCTTTTAAGTAATCTATCTCTCCAAAATATTTGATACTCCTTAAATAACTTATAAAACTGCTCTAAAAAAATTGAAAACTCAAAAGAAATATCAAAACTAGCCGGAATAGCATGTTTTGGGTAAAAACTAGCCTAAATTTTTTATTATTAATTTATTTTTAAGATCAACATTTATTCAAAATATAAAAAAATTAATTTTTAATAAAAAAATCTAAATTGTTTAAAAACACATATTGACTTGCATTTCTAAACGTTTTATCTTCGTAGGAAGCCCTCAGGAATTTGCATAGGCAGCAAGGATCAAGGGAGACAGCTGGGAACCTTGACCTCAAAGACCCAAATATTAATTTTAATTTCTCAATTTCTTTCCAAGTATTTTATATTGCATCACTCTCCCACTCTACCGAGTCGTTCCTTGAATCTTCTCAATATAAAGGATTTTAAAAAAAAAAACACAATTTATGAGCACAGATTGTTTTGCCGGCCAAGAAAAGCAACCGTGATAAGTGGGGAAGTTATCATTTTCTTACTTCTGTGGTGTAAAATCATTGATATGGAGCTATCTGGTCATTTATCAAATTAACAAACCATCTTCCTTTGGCGTTGACTTGTCGTCTCATTTGCCTGAAACCAAGCATACGTTGTGGAATTGAAAAGTAAGCGAAGTTGCAATAAATCTCGTAACTTATGGATTGATTTGGTTCTACAAGGAGTAATATCACAACCAGCTTTGAAAAAAGTGTTGTTTTTGAAATAATATTTTTAAAATTTTTAAAATTTATTTTTGATATTATCGTATTAAAATCACTATCAGAAATTCACTAAATAACAACGGATTTACTGATGGAATATTTTTGTCAGTAATTTGAGGTTGAAATTACCGACAGTTATATTCCGTTTGTAATTCAGTCGGTAACTATCGACGAAAAATTTCGTCGATGATTACGGACGGAAACGTCATCGTTGTAAAAAAAACAGGTCGCTGATGTGGAGGGTTTGACGGGGTGGTTTTTTAGACAAAATCACCAAAGGATTTTCTTCTATTGTTGTTGTTGTTGTTATTGTTGTGTTGTTGTTATTTATAATTTATATAATTAACCTCTTTGTGTTTTGACCCCGATCTTGCCAGGTTATTTATTATTTTGACACTCCTACACTTGGAAGAATACATCAATCTTTTGGTCGTGTCAACAGGTTCGTTTTAATTTTTATCAATGTTATTGTGGAGTTGTAATTTCCATAAATTTATATGTATAAATTTGTATGAACGTTGATAATTAATAATCTCGAGGTAAACCAATATTTTTGTAATTTTATTTACCTAACACAGTTAATTAACACATGTTGTCATCATAATTTTATAAAAGTTTGATATAATTTATGGATGATCATTCATGGATGTATCTAGATTTACCCCAAGGATTGTGGAGGATGGATTATTGTAATGAGGTTAGGGTGGTTAGTTTAAAATAAAATAAAAAGTATTAGGTATCAATGCAGGAAGTGTCAAAATAAAAAGTATATGCATCCAGATGTTGTAATGATGCATCTTCTACACAAAGGGTTTATGGAGAATTATTAGTGTTGGTATGCACATGAAGAAGTATATATTAGTGAGAGGAGAATAGAAGAAACGGTGGTTGGGTCTACTTCTAGTGCTAGCAACGAGAATGAAAACACTAATTCTTATAGAAACATGGTTATGGATGTAATGAGAATGAATCAAGGTAATGTCAGTCAATGCCCAATCATAGAAGAAGAACCTAATGTAGATGCAGTTAGGTTTTTTGATTTGTTGAAAGATTCTGACGAACAATTATGGGATGACTGTACGAACCACAACAAATTATCGGTTGTAGCATAGGTGTTCACCATCAAGTCAGAGCACAGGTTAAATGAGGTCAGGTATGACAAGATTATTGAATGGGCAAGAAGCATTTTACCTGAAGAGAACAGGCTGAAAGAGAACTTCTATGTTGCGAAGTCCATGATGAAACCCCTCGGTTTAGGATACCATAAAATTGACATGTGCCCTAACTTCTGCATGTTATACTACCTTGAAAATGCTGAGATGACCGAGTGCATGACATACTGGCATTACTGTTACAAACCTAGAACTGGCAGGGGAAAGACTCTAATGGCATATAAAAAACTTAGATACTTCCCGATCACACCTAAATTGTAGAGATTATTCATGTCACCAAGGACTGCTGAGCACATGACATGGTAGCAAGCACACCATGTGGTTGATGAAGTGATGGTTCATCCTTCTAATGGCGAAGCGTGGAAATGCTTTAACAGTGTTCATCCTCACATTTCAGCTGAATCAAGGAATGTGCGTCTTGGGTTGTGTACAAACGAATTCAACCCATTTAGGTCATTTGTTGCTCCTTATTCTTGTTGGCCGGTCATACTTGTAGTTTATAACTTGCCACCGGGAATGTGGATGAGGTTGGAGTTCATGTTTTTATCTACTGTCATACCTGGTCCAAACAACCCGGGACGGAATATAGATGTTTGTCTTCAATTGTTGATTGATGAGTTGGCGCAGTTGTGGTCCTCCGGATCTCTGACTTATGATATATCGAGGAAACAAAATTTCCTTATGAGGGCGGCTTTGATGTGGACTATCAATGATTTTCCAATTTATGGAATGCTTTCTGGTTGGAGCACGCATGGGAAACTCACATATCCATACTACATGGAAAATAAAAAGGCATTCACGCTAGCAAATGGAGGCAAAGCTTCTTTTTTTGACTATCACCGTCGCTTCTTGCCACTTAATCACAGGTACAGAAAGAACATAAAAGATTTCTTTGTTGGCAGAGTTGAAAAAGATGTTGCATCCCCGTGTCTTTCTGGTGAAGAATTGCATGATGTTGTCTCAGAGTACGGTGACATTGTGTTTGGCCTTCAATCAGGTAAGCAAAAGTT